ACCTAACGTACCGGCATATAGAGCACCATGAGCCCGTCTCCTCCTCTCGGCGCCCTTCTTCCTCATCCACAAATACAACTGTCTCGCGCACAGAGAAGATCAGCCGGAGGTCCTGCATCATCTCCTTCTTCATTCATTTTTTCTTCGGGAGGGTGAGTTCTTCGTTGTCAGATGACTGGACATGTTTATCAGGCGAGTAGTCTGCCTTAAACACCATCACACACACCTTGTTGTCTCCATACCCAACCCCATCCTCCTCTCCAGCATGCTCACTCTCCTTGTCGCCCTCCGGGTCATTGTCTCGCTCATCACCTTCCTCATTGATCTCGATCACCTCATTGCTCGTTCCCGCCATCTTGCCTCTCCCTCCCATCGACTTCTTTTGTGCCGCCCCGGTCTTCTTCTTCTCGCCCACCTTCCCCTGTGTCTTCCCTTCCCTCGAAACCCTTCCCTTCGCATCAGATTTGCGTGCCCCACCGACTTTCCGTGCCTTCTTCACCACAAGCAGTTCTTCAATCTCCTCGCTCTCGGAGCTGTCCTCTACCACCTTCTTTCGCTTGATCACCTTTTTCGTTGTCGTTGTCTCCTCCTCGCTAGCCATGCCAGTAGATTGTAGTTGTGTGGACCAGGGCAGTAGAGGAGAAATGACAGTCTTGTTGAATCAATGCACACAACTTTTTGTCTGCTATGATTATGTAATCGTATGTCGTGCTCTACCGCCTGCTCTCTCTATGGCCCCGAAGACCGGCCCCTATCAGTCTGTTACGGTCTTTTTGGTCGGTCCTGGACCGGTCATGACCGGTCCTCCTTGGTCCTTACAGACAGGTATGTACAGGGAGACCGGAACCAGGACCATGGACAGGACCGCTATACAGGTGGTCCTGGTCCGGTTACTACAGGTCCTGCCTTGGTCACAAGACCAGTCTTCAGCGGTCCTGTGACTGGACCCAGCAGCACTACAGCCGGTTTCGGATCGCTCATCGTGAGAGCGCCGCGCCGCGTCTCGCGCATTTGCCTGTTTTCCCCTTCTAAGCGCCCCCAAAGGAACTTCGGACGACAATATCTCCTGGACTGCTCAGCATATTCATCTCTTTCTTGCATATTCTGACTCAGGAATGTGACGTGCAGGTCACGGTGCTGGAATCAAGGTGGCTGCTCATATATCGGACGTTCCACTGGCCTTCGGTCGATCTCACGCCATCTGCTGCATCTGTCACGCATATATCCTTGGACAACCCATGGAGATACCCAGAAGGCTCATTGGAAGCTATTGGTGGATGTTACGGAGGGCATATGGTGCAGAAGAGGCTGACGATGTACGTATTCTATATTCTGCGAAGGGTTCTGGTGCATGTCGAGTATACCGCTCTGTCGTATATCGTCAAATCCAACACATTCTTTGCTACGAAACATCTGAAATGTGCCCACTGCATGCCTACGAACTGTTACAATCGTCCCAGTTGCTAATTGTAGTGTTCTACTAGCTCTCCTTTGCAGCTCCAATCTACCCACCTCGCCTGTTCCTCCCTCCTACTACATGGCCCCAAATGCCTTGCAAGACCATATACACTATGGAGGGGCAGAACACTCACAAATTCATGATGTCTGGTGCCTCCCGATGAAGAGTACGAGCTGGCCCAAGAGGGCTGCCACCCAAGCCCACCCTATGGTGGACGTGATTGTTGCAGGACACGCTGCCTTTTGACCTTGAGCCCTCGAGAGCATTTTGTCTTCGCCATTCCGATGATTTCCGGAAGAGTACACCATACTATTAAGCCAACAGCGCTGTTTGAGTCCAGTAGGGAGCTGGAAGAGCGGGAATGCCCAGAAGTCAATGATATCGTGTTGGCGCAATTTGGATACCATACCATGCCCTGCGCGTTGCATGCCTGAACCAGAATATGCAAGAATGAGGTGGCTACATTGAGCAGTCCAGGAGATATCGTCGTCCGAAGTTCCTTTGGGGGCGCTTAGGAGGGGAAGACAGGCAAATGCGCGAGACGCGGCGCGGCGCTCTCACGACAAGCGATCTGAAACCGGCTGTAGTATTGACTAGTTCAATCACTTCGGTTTGTTAGAGTGGGTGTCACGTTCTGGGTACATTCCGCCGAAAGCACCGACGTCCGAACTGCGCAATACGGTTGATACCACGTGTCTGAGCTTTCACGGCAGAGTTCATCACCGTTCATGCTTTGCTTTTTCGACCGTGTCTCTCCGTAGACATCGATGCATCTACTTCGTCAACCCCTCCACTTCTTTTGAGCCATGTTCCCCCTTCGGCTTCACTCGGAACCCCTGTATCGTTGATCCGCCCTTACTCGAGTTTGCATAGAACAGTGTGCGGACGTTTGCTGCAGCTCACTTCGTTCAAGGCCTCGCAGGCATTCTTCCTGAAAATCGACGCCGAAGATAAAACATTTACGCCATGCAAGGTCAGTTCCGCAATTCAGATGCTGGCAGATGCACAGACATCTGATCGCGACCGATGACGATGGTAGGGTTGGTGCTACGAACTGGTGCATGAGCCGGAGGGGGTGCAAAACAAGTTTGTCACGGAGGTACTTCCCGTATATTTTGCTCTCAGGTCTTGCTTTGTGGGTTGTGTGGGTTGCAACAAAGTGCTCCTGAGTGCGGCCTTAGCATACCTCACGTATCTGAACAAGGAGTAAGCCAGCATAGAAAGCCGTATCTCACATCGAGATGAGTGTGTAAGTTGCGACAAGGTGTGCCGTAGGATCCTCGAGCGATGTCGACAGAGGTCCAATTGAACTACTGACGAGAATAAAGCGCATCGAGGACCTCGGACACCGCAGACGGTGTCGTGGCTAGATCTCAGATTTCCCGCGCCGCGGGTGCCAGCTCGGCCATTCGTCGCCGTCACTGCTCATACCTCTTACTCCCCCGCACGCCGCCGTCGACGCACCCGCTCTCGACTTGTATTTCTAACTTAACTATTGCTTGAATCCCTTCTTTTTTACTCACTGGTGGCTTGGTCTGACGGCCCACGACACATCTATTCGCCATGTTCTTCAAGGGCCTTCTATACTGCCTGACGCTGCTGCCGCTAGGAATACTCGCTGCGCTGGACGATAAGTCTAAGCTTGCGAACAGGACAATTGACAGGGTAAGTCATTGTTCAGTCTCGCGCGTTGTATCCGAATTGGTGAGAGTGGTGGGGCCAAGGTGGGCACGTATGTCGTGTCAAGGACTACAGTTGGACGAACGTGCATAATAGCTCGCATGACAAAGATGTGTTTGCGCGCGCAATGCGAATCTGTTGAGCCTATGCTGTCAATACACTGGACTTTGGCCATGTGAGGCCGGGCAGTTGTATGTTTGCGGGAACGTAGGACTCCCAGCATGACTGGCCACGACTATAGTCGTGGCCGGCTATGATGGTGGCTAGCGGACTACGCGAGGGCTACAGCGAAATCCACGAGAGAACGGGAACTGCGGCACACAAACACTGTCCCAGTCCGTAGGAGATGTAGTCAGAGTACCCACTCTCAACGCATGCAGTCACTCCCAGAGACGCCTGCTATGGCCGAGGAAAATGAGATTCTCAGCGGGTTTCTCCCCCGCCTGGAGCATGCGGAACCGTGATTAGGACACGAGACACTGCACTGTGTGGCCGGCTCAATGGGCGCACATCCTTCCCTTTGTAACGCATCTCCACGTTGCACCTTCGGGTCACTTGACGTCGGGTACTAGGCGAAGACATCGTTGCGTGAAACGTCCCGAGCAGGACCCGACTGTTGCCCACCATGTCTACTTTCTTCAAGGTCTTCACTTGTTGAACAGAATCCAATCTAACGGAGTGCCGTGACTCACCACATCGCAGACCGTCTCCCTCCGTACCCACTCAATATACCCGCCCTATATTGACCAAGACCTTCAAAACCGGTGAGTATCGCTCCCGACATTTCCCTCGCACATATGCCCTAATGCCCCTCTCGTGCAGATGGTGGGATTTTGGTGGTGATGCATACGTTGTACGTTCACACGAAACTGCCTTTAAGTACATTCCAGCTCAACGTCTCTCCCTGGGACGCAGAACACAAATAAGCACATCCGTCTCACCCGTGCGAAGCCCTCACAAATGGTACGCCATGTATCGTTCTCGCTTGTGGTCCCTTGTCGGTGAAGAAACTAACGGTACCGTAGGGATGGCTGTGGTCGCGGGTCCCGCTTACTGCATCGAATTTCGTCCTGGAACTCGAGTTCAAGGTGGGTGATGAGCTTGCTCTACTTGCGCTAACAATTCATGAGTCACTGGCACTCCGTCGCCTCCTCTTAGGTTGCGGGTGATAACAATCACCTGTTCGGCGATGGTATGGCCATCTGGTTAGCCAAAGACCGCGCGCAGCCAGGGCCTGTTTTCGGCAGCAAAGGTGCGCAATTTGCTGTCAACCTGCACAAAAATATCTCTAATATGGCTTTCCACCTGCAGATAACTTCGAGGGCCTCGGCATATTTCTTGACACGTACGTGCATCTGCGCCTGCAGTGGAACCGTGGGTGCTAAAGACGACGACGACAGGTATGCAAATTCGCGGCACCCTTACTCGTTCCCCCGTATCACCGCTATGCTCGGCGACGGCAAGACAGCGTACGATTCAGAACATGATGGCGAGAAGAACAGCCTCGGTGCCTGCTCTGTACGTGTCCTCTACCCGCTTACCACTTTTCGCAGCCGTTTGAACGTATCCAGGCGAACTTCCGCCGGACGAACGTCGCAACGAAACTGAAGATCACGTACATCCGTGAACAATATTTGAACGTGAAGATCCAGTACAAGGCCTGTGCGTGACCTTCTCCAATTTCTGATCATCCGTACAGGACGACCACTGATCCTCGCTCGCGTCCGCAGGGGACGAATGGACGGAGTGCTTCACCTCGTACGGCACCGTGCTCCCACTCGCGCCCTATGTCGGCTTCTCTGCTCTCACGGGCGACGTCTCCGACAACCACGAGTGGGTCCCTCCCTCTTCCAATCCCGCTCCCCCATATTGACTGAGTGCTCTGGAAACAGTATCATCAGCGTCACGACCTACTCCGCGATCTTGTCCAGCCCTGACGCGCAGCGCGACAAGCTCACGGGCTCAAAGAAGCCCGGGCTCGCAGGCGTCGCCGCGTCCTCGTGGTCATGGACGTTCATCAAGCTCTTCTTGTTCGTCGGCGTTGTCGCGGGGGCGCTGTACGGGTACAAAACATACGCGCTTCGGCAGGCGCGAGGTGGAGTTGCGGGCGTTGGAGTTGGGGCATTCGGCTCGGTGGGGAGGAGCATGCAGGGATTCGGGTATGATAGCAAGCGGTTCTAGCGATGGTCGGCTGTATGCCGTCCGCGTGCTGGTTGATCAGTACAATCGAGGGTTGTATTTATGTTGTGGCCTCTGAATCAGCTTCAGTGGTCTTCCCGAGTGCAGCCACCTTGATGCCTTCAGACTAGATGTACAGGACCAGTGGAGGCCTTTTCGATCGCGAACTACTGCTCTTACGGTCCTCGCCCGCTCCCCATTGCTCACGCAGTACACGATGTGCCCAATTGTTTCTCTGAATGTCCAGATCTTGCCGAAGCTGTTCCGTATTAAGCGACGAGTATCAGCTGAAGCAGCGGTAAACTTGAATCCTTGTATATGCCGACGGTGCTAGTTCTCGCGCCCTCGTGACCGCCTTCAACGCGAAGTGATGTGCAGCGCGGTTGTTCGAAGCTGTTCATCCAAGTCAGGGAGATTACATACACATTGGCTACGAAGGAGGACTTGCGTTGTATGGTGTATTGCTTTCACCGTATGTAGTATGTGGAGCTGCGAGCGAACCATCCTTGAATGTTCCCACATTGAGCTCATTTTCGTGCTCATGCTGGTATTTGAGGTTTCGGGAGTCTATTCAGCACTCGATGTAATCGGCGATGCTCACGCCCGGATTGATAATGAACGCCCGTCTGACTCTCCTTCATACAGCTGGCGTTGGAGCGGTTCACCATACGAGGTGGCACTTGACATGAGTTTGCTATATGCAGGATCGCAAGGAAAATGCGAAGACCGGACTGATTTCGACAGACCTAAATGAGATATCGAACTAGATACAATGTCAATAACGGACCGGAATGCAGGAATCAGTGCTTCACGTTGAAGTGGAGCGCTCTGACCGGCGATTCAGTTGTTGTTGATTCATACCAAGCACGCGTGCGAGAGATATCATCCAGGGGATAACATCTTCTCAGTTAGTTTCGCTATCTGCGCATAGAATCGTGGGATGGGCATACGAAATCTGCGGAACACCTGGGCATATCCCGCTAAGGCCCGGGCATTGCGACCAGGTCATATTACAGCTTCTGATCTGCCGAGGTGACAACCAGGCCGAAGGGCAATCGTCAGAAATGAGACCATCGGGAGAAAACACCATGTACCACGGGGTACTCACGCCTGCAGTTCCATGCAGTCAAGTCTGTGCCGGCTGGAGGAGTGGATGCGGTGCCGAATAGGCACCAAAATGGGCTACGTGAATGCCGTGTAAGATATTCCGTAGACCCTGGCTGCCGCGATAGTAAGCCGAATTTTTCGAACTGGTTGAGCGTATCTCTCGCTGTCGTCTTACGCTGGCTGATATGAGGTATAACTCTCTCTTGGGGATACCGCATGATTCGAGCGATGTCGCTGACTGACTATGAACCTATTCCGGAGAATGTAGAATGCTCTCTGCCTAGAATTCCTGATCGATAGGTAGCTGGACGAGATCCGGGTGCCTGGAGGTTAAACTTCTTGGTTACGAGGCAAGGTCACGGACACTGGCTACTCACGGTAGGTTTCAGCTGCAGCCTTGGCCGTCCGACTTCTTGAAAGCCTAGACACCTTCAATCTCGCCGCAGGTCGTTTGATGAAGACGTCTCCGCTGAGGGCTGCAGAACCTGTTGCAGGCACGGGACGTGTCAGGCTGGCGGGGTGAGTGAGTGTACCTCGGAACTCCGCCCATGTCCATCTCGTTGGGCCTCAACAAGACAAGCTGAGCGGCGAGATCAACGACAAACCGTGACTAGCCGGATGGGTGTCCTCATAGGATAACAGGTGGCCGCAGTTGTATAACGGTGGTTGTCAAACCGCACAAACGGCACGACCATGCCAAACACAGCAATTCCCGACGGGCACATGATAGTAGTCGTCGTCGCTGACGTCGGCCGCACAGCATATATACACAACCCCACATTCCAACCCCACATCCCGCCCCCGCCCTCACGTCTCAGCACATCCTGGTAACTGATTCAGGCTAGCGACCGCTTTTGAAGGAACATGACGACCCCATCCGGAGAGTCCACTCCCTCGGCCGTATACAACGAAGCCTGGCTCCCCGGCCCATCTTCCACGCAGTTCTACACCCGGACTTATCCCTCCTCTGACTCCCGCGCTGTCCTCGTCTTCGTGCACGGCTTCGCGGAGCACGTCGGCAGGTACGAGTGGGCGCACGCTGAGTACGCGAAGCGCGGGATCACGGTCTTCACGTACGATCAGCGTGGGTTCGGGCGCACTGCACTCGACAAAGAGAAGAAGAGCAAGGAGAGCGCGTATGGGAAGACGAGTAGGGTGGAGCAGCTGAGGGATATCGAGTGGTGGGTGAAGCATGTTAGGAGGGAGTTCCAGGGGCTGCCGGTGTTCTTGATGGGGCATTCGATGGTGCGTACCCTCACTTGCATTGTAGGCGGTAGCTGATGGACGTCGGTGTAGGGCGGTGGGCTCGTGCTTGCGTTCGGGACGCGGACGACCGCGCCCCCAGAAAGGGAGACGCTTTCGCTGCTCACTGGAGTGATCGCGTCGAGTCCGCTTGTCCACCAGACCTACCCCGCGTCGAAGATACTCAGGTATATTGGAGGCAAGGCGAGCACTTTGTTCCCGCACTTGCTCATCGACGCGCCTGTCCCCGTCGAGGTACGTACATTGCATGTTCATTGTAGTGTGCCGCTACTAAACTGCGCCGTGTCGCTTGTCTTCATATTCGCATCGTTCGACTTGTTCGCAACGCGGCTCTCGTCCTCGACATAGGATCTATCCCATGACCCGCTTGCGAACTTGGCGAGCGTCAATGACCCCTGGATTATTCAGAAGGGGTCCCTGAAGGGATTGCATGACATGCTGAGCGGCGTACGTCTTATTCGCTTCTTCCTAACCACACAACTATCCTAACGTTCCTTTGGATACAGGGCGAACAGCTTCTAGCAGGCGACTACAAGCATTGGTCGCGGAATCTTCCAGTATGGCTTTCATGTCCGTCCTTCCTACTCCTTCTCACCGACCGACCGTATCCAGCTGCTCGTTGTCCATGGCGATGTCGACAGGGTAAGTGTCTTCGCTCCCGCGTTTGGTTGATTTGTCTCGGTTGCGGTGGTTTCGCGACGTACGTTCTCGGGCACGGGCGATTCTCTGCCGAGAGCGATAGGGTCTAGCCCGAATAGCATGCCGAGTAAGAGATATCTGCACCCAAGCAGTGCGGGATGTTGCTATTTTGCCCCTGCGTTCAATAATCCGACCGCATCCTTTGGTAGACAGATTGTAATCCAATGTTTCTACTTCGCGAACCCCTAGATGTCCTGCGGAACCCTTGACCTCCTGTGCCCGCTTTCCCCGCGTTTCAATGGAATACCGCAGCGACCATTCAGGCAGTGTGCTGACGATTGCTGTAGGTCACCTCATTCAAGGCATCAAAGGAGTTCTTCGATAAGGTTGACGCCGAGGATAAGACGTTTACCCCGTTCGAGGTCAGTTCCGCATCTTATGATGCCGGCACAGCCGACGTCTGACCGCAGCGGATACGGCATTGACAGGGCGGGTTCCACGAGCTGGTGCATGAGCCGGACGGGGTGAAGGAGAAGTTCGTGGAGTGCTGCATTTCGTGGGTGTTGAAACACGTAGAGACCGGGAGTGGGCCGGCGTCGAAGTTGTGATGGCTGTTGATGGATTGTATTTCCGGGCGTTGTGATCATGTCCGTGGGCGAATTGGATACGCTATGCCGATGTCGGAAGGTGGTCCGTGCGATGCGTGTGATCGCTGGCGGCGGATGCCAGAGAGCGTTGTCGCCGACTCGTTTCTTGTCTCCGTCGTTTCGTTTCCTACCATCTCTTCCTTCTTCTCTGCGGGGTGGGCAGCCTCAGTTGTGTTCGCAAGAGCTTTTAAATTGACCACATCCACCCACCGTCCGCACTCGCTCCCTTTTTGTGCGTGTCTTTTTCTGCCCACACTCGTTTCCCCGCGGACGTCGCCCCCGTCGCCCCCACGCTCTCTGACTCGCGTTCTCTCCTTTCATCACCCGCCCCGTTCATACTTCCTTCTCTCGCCATGGAAGACACCCAGACCGCGTTTGCGTCCCAATACCAACCCTACGCCGGCTTCGATATCGACATGATGAAGGTCAGCACACTGCGCTCATCCGGAAAGTGTAGCCAGCTCATCGCTCGACCCTTTCTCCTTATTCGTCGCAATGCGGCTCCTCGCCTTCGAACATCCACTTGGTTCCTGCCGACTTGCAATTTTGACACCTTACCTCCCTTTGCACCGCCAGCAGAGGTCCATGGAAACCGTCGGCGGCCCCGACGCCAAAAAGGCTCGTTGGTCCCCCACCTCCTTTGGCCCCAATGGCACCGCCAGCGCAGCATCCAATCGCGACGCGTTCGCCAACTACGGCTACGGCCCTCAGGCCTCCATTGCGCAGGCCCAGAACGGCTTCAACGGCTCGCCCCCCAACTCGACCGGCTTCCCCTCTGGAGCGGGAGGCGGTAACGCACTCTACTCAACTCCTTCGCTGACCTTGAACACTGCGGTAGCGACGAACGGGATGGGTCAACAGATGAGTCCGAACACTGCAGGTCCGTATACGCCTCAGAACCAGCAGCCGCCGTCGGCGACGCCGAACAGCGCGAATCCGTACAACGCTTTCAACGGGTACAGCATGTTGGGCATGGGACTGCCGGCGATGGGCATGCTTGGAGGATTCCCGTATAATGGACAAATGGCGGCCAGCTTTGCTCAGGTGTGTCTTGGTGTCTCTTTTGCTTGACTTGCTTTCTCTATCTATCTTCCTCTATTCATTTCTTTCTGTTTTGCCTTCGTTCGAGCGGTTGTTGCGTTGGTTCGCCTTGATCTTGCCTGCTCGTAATTCGTATGGGCAGCCCCCGGGCGACGCCACGTCTTCTTCCCGCTAGCCTTGTTACCTCATCTTAGCGGCGGAGGCAGCTGTTGCATTGGAGACGTATTACGTAAACCGTTTTTCCGGACTTTGGTTCATCCCAGAGACAGTCGCTTGGAGAGTATGTGTCTCTGATCAACATGTTCTGGCGCGATTGCCGAGTATAGGCTCGTGTTGATGGTTCGAGTGTCTTGGAAGGTCCAGATGGGACGACGGCAAGGAGCGCCGGCGGGGTGAACAAGTGCGTGCCTTTTCTCGTCCATTGCCGTTGTACGAAGGGCAGCCGCATGTGGCGGTCCAAGGCGCATCCTCTCTTTCCTAGCAAGCAGTGGTTTCTGCATTTCTCACTCTTCGTGTCTCCTTCCATCCGTCTGTTGTCGCACGATGCTGACCTCGCCGGCCCCTCAGCAAAACCTCAACCAGCAGCGTCTTCCCTCGCTCACGATCCCTGGCCCCGCTGCGTCACCCTACTCCCCGGCGGCGATTACAGCAGCGCTCTCTGCGCAGAACAACATGACGGCGCGCACGGTCTACGTCGGAAACCTCCCTGCGACGGCGTCGGTCGACGAGCTCCTCAACCTCGTTCACTTTGGTCCGCTCGAGTCCATCCGCGTCCTGCCCGAGAAGTCGTGCGTGTTCCTGTCCTTCCTGGACGGTGCCACTGCTGCCGCGTTCCACGCGGACGCGCTTATCAAGAAGCTCTCGCTGCACGGGCAGGAGCTCAAGATCGGCTGGGGGAAGCCATCCCCCGTGCCATCGCAGGTCGCGCTCGCGATCCAGCAGAGCAACGCGTCACGCAATGTGTACTTGGGCGGTCTGGAGGAGAGTATGACGGAGGAGCAGCTGCGGGACGACCTCAGCCGGTTCGGGCTGATCGACCAGGTGAAGATTGTACGCGACAAGAACATCGGCTTCGTGCACTTCCTCTCGATCTCGACTGCGACGAAGGTCGTAAACACGCTCCCGACGGAGCCTGCGTGGGCAGGCAAGCGAGTGAACTACGGCAAGGACCGCTGCGCGTACATCCCCAAATCGCAGCAAGCTGCAGCTCAGGCTGCCCAGGCTGCTGCAGCGCAGTCCCTTGTGGCGCAGAGCGCTGTCTTAAGCCCCGTGTCTGCGGGTGCAGGTGGCAACCCGTTCGCGAGCCCGCTGTCGCCGTACATGCAGTTCTCGCCCGACGCGCTGACGAGCTTTGCTGCTGCGGGAGGCCAGGCCCTGAACCGCACGGTGTACTTGGGCAACATCCACCCAGAGACGACGACGGAGGATTTGTGCAATGCGATACGCGGTGGGGTGTTGCAGAGCTTGAGGTACATGCAGGATAAGCATATTGCGGTACGTTTCTGCAGCATTGCTCTCCTGATGAGGCGTGGCTAATACGCGAATTGCAGTTCGTGACGTTCGTCGACCCTGCGGCAGCGCTGACGTTCTTCCAAGTGGCGTCTTACCAAGGTCTGACGCTCAACAACCGCCGACTCAAGATCGGATGGGGCAAGAACTCGGGGCCGCTGCCGCCCGCGCTCGCGCTCGCTGTGCACGCGGGTGCGACACGGAACGTCTACGTGGGGAATATCGAAGACTTCGACACGTTCACGGAGGACAAGCTGAAGCGCGACTTCGGCGAGTACGGGGAGATCGAGCTGGTGAACTTCTTAAAGGAGAAGAATTGCGCGTTCGTCAACTTCACGAACATCGCGAACGCCATCAAAGCGATCGATGGTGTGAAGAACAAGCCCGACTACGCGAACCTCCGCATTGCGCACGGCAAGGACCGTTGTGCGAACCCGCCGCGCTCGGGCCCGCAGGGCGGCTCAGGTGGCCGTCGCGGGGGCGGAGGGGGCAGCTCGCAGCCTCCCAGTGCGATCGAGCCCCCGGAGGACGTGCCGAACCCACTCAAGGACACTGTGCCGATTAAGGAGGAGGAACTTGCGGATATTCCATCGGGCGAGGTCGAGGCGTCAGCATGAGGGCGCCTCATCTTCTGATGAGAGGAAAATGCACATAACGACGACACATACCCCTGACCACGTTGTATGATCCGGCGACTACTTGGATACCCCGCCCTCCTTGTCTGTATATCGTGCTCGCTCTCGTCGCCCCTCACTCGCATTGAATGACGCCTCTCTACAATGCTCTGCCAGTGTACTACCTCGCTTGACTCGGACGTCCTGCTCCGGCACACCCCTCGTTTGTCGCCCTCCTGTCTCGGCATCCTCGTTTCGGTTTATCTCTCGTGCCTCCTGCCCTCTTTCTTTCTCCTAGAGGTGGCGACGCGGCGATGGAAGGGTGCTTCGCTCATCTCGAGCCGTCACGCGAGTGCGTTGCGGACCTTGGGTTGTTGGTTGCTTGTTGTTTATCAACTTGACTTTCGTCTTGCCTCTTGCGTCCGCTCATAGACTGTCCTTACCCCGCATCCTCCTGCCCCACCCTTTTCGTATTATCCCTTCTCTACTATGCTTCCCCCTTTCCTATTCTCCTTCTCTTTCTTTCGATTCTCGTGTCTGTGTCCGTCAGTGTAAGTGAGCCGCGCACGGGACGCAATCCCGTCCCGCCGCAGCATCATCCGCTCCTTGCTTCGGTCCGCACCATATGTCCTTCGCCCCTGTTAGGTGAATCCGAAACAAATATCCTGAACCTGCCCCCATTCCTCCCTACGAACATCTCACCGTGCATCTCCTCTCCGTCTCGTCCTCGTCTGATATACCGGTACTATACTCCCTCTAGCAGTAGTGCAACTGATACGGGTGCCGTGCTATAGCGATGCAAATAATTTTGCGTGTATCTCCATACATAGTCTCTACGTCGAATTAGCAATGGAGTTCCCTGTTCTCTCTCGATCTAACTCGAACCATACCTCGCAACTGCAGACTTCGAAAAGTTTGAGTAGAATTTGCCGAGTTGCCTGTCCCATCCGTTGGCGCTAGACGCGCTTTCCGAATTCTTTCCACGTACACGCTACTTTCAAAGACACTCACGATGATGATTACGATGATATCGCACAGCCGTGCCTTATTCTCGTCGTCACATGGACGTGATTGCACGCACCGTACAACGTCAGATGCCGGGCAATGGAGATGCTAGACCAGGTAGTCGGGCGGAAGGTGTGATGCGCTTTCAGTGACGGTCAGTCTCCCCGACGCGTTGTATGCTAGCCAAGCATCACATCACCTGGATAGGTTTGAGCTCCTTATCATTCGCAGGTATCCTGTTGAAGGTCTCCTCTGAGGCCTTGAAGGAAGTGACCTTGAATTTCAGAAAAAGATAGGATCAGGCACGGTATGGCATGCGCTCCGGTTACATGTTAGGAAAGCGATCGCTCCAAAACCGCAGGGTTATGTCGGACCTCATCAGCGTCATAAGCAAAGCCAACGGCAGGGAAGCTTGCATTAGCTGTAGGGAGTAGGTTTATCAGTCAAATACCCGTTGCGGCGACAATTTGGTGAGTCACTCCAATCCATCAACTTCAATCGTACCGCGCCCGTGCATCTATCAAGGAATCGCACCTCAATTCCTGTCCTTGTCTGAGAATCTTCAACGGGTCCTGAAGAACCTCTTTTTTTTTAATAGACATGGCTCATCGCTCGCCCACGGGCCCCAAGTATCGCAAGCCTGCGCTATAACTAGGGCGCTGCCAAACTCGCCCTCAGGACATCCCTCTGACGAGTCCCTCTAAGAAATGATCAACATCAACACTGTGAATCTGGTCTCTGGCTTTCTCGAGTTCACCCTCTTTGGGATCTTCGTACTACTCTCCCCAGTGTCGCTCGTGTTACTCGCGCGTCGACACAGGAAAGTGTATGGTCAATGTCACGAGCTCAGCGACGATGCTCCTCGGTGGAGAAATCGGCTATCGACAACCTGGGGCTTGAGGAGGTCCCCCCTTATTCTTGCCAACGTCCTATTGATGCTCACAGTTACCGTGGTATGTCTGCGATTTGAATGCCTTTTCGTAGTCTACTAAGCCCCCTAATACGTTACAAGCACTTTGGTTACTCCGCGAAGAGGATTATTCTGGCAATGGTCAACGAACTTGGCGGTGGCGAGGCGGCCGTCCTATTCTTCACCGACTTACGTGAGAGGACGCAGGTCGCCAGGCTCATCCTGCTGGTGATCGATATGTTCCTCGGCGATGTTGTCATTGTGGGTAGTTTCACGTCCTGAAACACTAGATCCCGTTTGAAATGATGACGTGCAGACCTATCGTGTCTGGTTAGTGTGGGGCAAGAACTACTGGATCACACTCTTCCCAGTGCTCACTGTGATCGGAGTGATAGGTAAGCGGGAAACCTTCAGAGCCACGGCCAGCATTCTGACGATAATTCCCTGAGGAAGTGGCTGGGAGTGGGATGGTACATCAGTTCACGCTGTCTCACTCAGACACAGGGGTATTCACTGAGGTGGTCGCCCCCTGGATCACTGCGACTTGTGTTACAACTGTCTGGTGTGTAGACAACATGTATCTCAGCTGTATAATCTCACAATGTGGCTCAGTACAAACGTTTATGGGACTGGTGAGCAGCTATACCATGTGTGCGTTCCAGTCATAACTGAACTGCCAATAGCTGTCATAGGATATCGAGTCTGGACATCTAACCGGCTTCTGAGGAACACTGGCGTCCTGGGAGACGGCCGAAGTCTCCTTGTTAGCTTTGGTCAGCATCGGCGATGGAACAAGCCTCTCCTCATTATAGAACAGCATGGCCATCCTTGTAGAGAGCGCGGCCTTCTGGACGTATGTTTCATTTCAGCCTCATCGGTTTCTGCATTGATTCATCTCCTCCAGCTCTTGGGTTGTGTTATATCTCATCTGGTATCTCACCGGATCCCCTCTGGAAGCGATCGGGTCCGGCACCGCTCCTGTAGTTATCGGCATAACATTTATGCTCATAACTGTGCGGGTTGGCCTCGGTCTGGGCCAAGAAACAAGGCCCACAACAGCAAGCATGCAATGGGCTAAAACATCCTCCAGCTTTACTCGCGGACGTGGCCTGCGTCTCAGAGAAGACCTGCACAGGCCTCAAGCCATTTCCCTCACGGTGACGCGCACAGTTGAGCGGGGCGATGAGGCCGACGTCGAGGAGAGTTCGATCGGAGACAATACGAAGGTAGCGAACAGCTTGCCGCAGCGTTCTGGAGACACGTTTGAGGGTACGGTCTAGGTGGAATCGAAGTATGCGAAAGATGAAGTTTCTCCACATGTATCTGTCATGAGAGTGTTCCGTGAGACTGAAAACTAATGTCCCTATTCAAAATCGCATGAACTTCGCCTTGCATGACAGTTCTATGTATGCGGGTGTGCCCATTACTGAATATGAGTACATCCTGTCAAGTGCTGTGATCCCTCCTCGGTCAGTTGGTCGAATTCTCTCCACTTGTCGATGAGTGTATGCCACGCTTCCTGCCGAGCGCTGCTTCGGTGACGTAGATGGGCTTCCAAGAAATCTCGGTCTACTTATAGAACAGAGTGTATCCCTTGAATCTTCATCTTCCCTGTGACGTAGCTGACTGCGCCCGTGCAGGGTAAGTATGTATTGTGACCGATATAATGGCCCCAGATTATGACCTTGTTGTCCTCACAGTGCGCTGCTGCCTATCACGCACCTGCGCTCGGTATCCCCCATCCAGAATACGCCGTGCATGGCGACTTCAACTTCAGAATCGTCAACCTTCACTGAAGAGTGGCTGCTAGGCCCTGAAGACACCCACTTCTACACGCGCACGTACACCGCGTCCTCCCCACGCGCAGTGGTACTCTTCATTCATGGATTTGCTGAGTATGTTGGGCGATATGAGTGGGCCCACGGGATTTACTCGTCTCGCGGAATCACGGTCTTTGCATTCGACCAGCGGGGCTTTGGTCGAACGGGAATGGATGAAGAGAACAGGAGCCCAGGGAGTACGTACTGCAAGACGACCTTTCGGGAGCAGTTCGCGGACATCGATTGGGCTCTGAAGCTTGTTCATAAGCGATTTCCGAAGCTGCCGATATTCTTGATGGGTCACTCGATGGTATGGTTGTTATCCGCGTCCGGCAGTGATCACAACACTTCTAATGGTTTCGATCGCAGGGAGGAGGTTTATCATTAGGTTTTCCTACACGCACCTCTCCGCCTCCAACACAAGAGAGCATATCACTCCTATCCGGTGTCGTAGCCACAAGCCCTCTAATTGTACAGCCCTCCCCTGTGCCACGGCCCGTGCGGTTTGTGGCCGGCATGGTTGGGAAACTGTTTCCCCTGATGCTTGTACCTGCGCCTGTGAACTCAGATGTGAGTGTTGCCATACAGCTGAATGTATGCTGTGTATAGTGAAACTAACCGTAACCTACGTGAAAAAAGGCGCTAACTCACGACAGGATGGTCAACGAAGCAGCAGAGAAGGATCCTATGTGCCCGAAAACAGTGTCCTTGAAGGCGCTTGACGAAGTCCTCGGAGGAGTAAGTGTTGCCAAGACTCCGAGCCATATCACTCATGGACTGAATGAGAGAATCAGTGCGAACAGGTACTTGGGAAGGATTACACACATTGGCCAAAGAATCTCCCTGTGCGTGTCCTTCGTGTCTTTTGGTCAGTACACCTTCAACCTATCTTACTTGCAGCTACTCCTCGTGCATGGTACTGCAGACAAGGTACAGATGAATCAAACGGAGCATTATTCAGCTCGCTGACCAACTATGTGAACCAGATGACCTCCTATGCCGCGTCACAAGAGTTCTTCGCGAAGGTTGACGCGCAAGACAAAGAGTTCAAGGCGTTCGAGGTATGGGTCTCACGTCGACTCTAGTTCACGGGTATCAGTATGGTTAATCGTTTCGTACAGGACGGGTATCACGAACTTGTTCATGAGCCCGATAGCGTGAAGGAGAAGTTTGTGGACGAGTGCATCCCCTGGATTTTAGCGCACAGTAAGCAGACCTAGATCATCGGCCCAAGGTGAACTGCACATACAGTTGATTGACGTATACTATGCCTACTATCGCGACCCCAGTGTTTGGACAGACCCCAGTGCTCGGACAAACGACCGTATCTCCGTCATTGTCCACTCGATAAACTTGCAAGTTGGAAGGTAGGTGCCCATATGTGTTCCAAATAAGCAGCAAAAAGAACTGAATTTATATCATAAGCCCTTGGGGCGATCTTGCAGAAGGGAGTGGTGCAACCCTTCCCTATCAAAGCTTCGGGAGTCTCGCTTCGTATCCCTCTTCGGGCGCTTCCATACAAATTTCGTGTACGTATTTCTACCTACGCATATTACTCACTACCCAATTTTCCGAGGCCTGCTCAGGGGAACACAGAGGAGAAACAAGAAGCAGCCCTCAAGGGCGTGACAATGCAGCCACAGTTTGACTCTCCGACTTGCTCGGGATGCTCGGCTAAGGCTCATCAAGCTGGAGAACGGGGATTCCCCGAAGACCGGCAGGTGTCGGCAAGCGTGACAGATCGTGACCTGCTGTGCGGAGAATTGTCCGAACACTGGGGTCAGGCCCTGTATATCCTGTCTCCATTGCTC